CAAGGTATATTTGGGGGTGTAAATGCCAAAAAAAAAGTGCCTCTGCAGGGTTTGTATTAAAAGCACTGGGGGTGACAACTTAGAATGAAAGTCCAGCCTTTCAACTGGCAAGAAACAAGCCAGTGCTTCAGCTATTAATCCCTCCCACTGCCCAAAACAAAACAGATTTCCAAAGCAACAGAAAAGGAAAATAAATTTTAAATAAACAACTTTATTTAAAACTGCTCTCATTTTCATCCCTCGTGGATGGAAGCATGGGCTGCACACTTCTTGCTGCACAGAGAAGGACACTAAAAAGTAACATAATCCTGATATTTAAAACCAAGCTTTTCTTGCCAATATTCTGAGACTCGATCGCTATTGCCAAGCTGATTAAGTGAACATGCAGATCATCAAATATTGGCTCTACTTCAAGCTCCCCATCCACTGCCTTCACTAGGTCTCCTCAGGGAAACCTCACCACTTTCAGTGCCCACCTCAGCTTAAACCATGCAGAAGCCAACCCATTCCACCAGCAAAGCCAGTCACCCTGACAGCCCAGGAGCTCTAAACCCCAGCTGCAATGAATGAAGAAGTATGTACATACCTATGACTTACTTAGACTAACAAGCGTGGTCAGGGCCTTATCTCAGGAGAGACTGAAGAAGAAAGCATGGATATAAATCAAAAGCAGCTTCTGATTTGGGGAGACACAGAAAACTGATCCAGCTGTTCTCCTGATTTTATGGGCTTTTCCCATCCTTGCCCTGAGGGATGAAGATGCTCTTTGACCAGGTCCACAGATGCCCAGAGTCCCCGGTCAAAGAGCATCTGCAGCCACTGAGCTCAAAAGTTCAGCAGCTCCTCCCCAAGATATTTCTAACAGTCAGAGTTGGGAAATGCAAGTGAAAGCTCAGCCACGCTGCTGATCTTCCAAGTCAGTGAGTCAGGGAAACTCCCTCCCATGTTATTTCATGCTATCAAAAGCAGACGACGCACACAAGGATGTGCGGGTAGGACACGCAGAGCTGTGCTTTACCAAATGATCTGTCTCTTTAAAGGAGGAGCTGTGCATCTCCCAGAGGTAGGAAACCAGGAGCCAACAGAAGGGAGTCATGTGTTAAGTAATCCTTGAACAAAATAACCTCAAAATGTTAAAACACGGAACTCACATAGGGAACAAGCAGCCCAATGAAAAACCCTTTGCAGAGGTGATGCAGAAGCTACTAAAAGTGAATTAAATCCCTGTTAAGACAGTAAGGATCCCACGGGAGTTTTTGGCCCAAAGCAGTTCACAAGTTGGATGCAGAGGTCCCTGCTGACACCCAAAACACAGCTGTGTCTGGGCTGGTGCATGCTGAAAACCATACAGTGACATAAGGCTGAAGAAATGAAAACCCATCTACTTGGCTTGCAGGTGGCAGGGAAGTCGAGAGGCAGCACGGCCAACAGCTCACCGCATTTCACTCCTGGCTGAAGCCTGAATTAGGGGCAGGGTTTGCTCCCCTCCTGTTGACAGAGCCTGGGCTGCCAGGAGGGATGGAGAAAGCCTGAGCCCAGCTGCCCTCAACTTCCCCATTTCAGCAGGTGTTTGGAGCAATATTAAGAAATCTGATTATTTTTTTTTCCAAATAAAGAGAATTCTCCTTTGCTAGTGCTAAAGAAAGCCTGAGATGGGGTAAGGCCAATTCAAATCACATCATGAAAACACCCCGTCTTACAGGAAAGGCAAAGTGAGCAACAGCCCCAGGGAGGTCACAGTACACAAACAGAGCTTCCCCTGCAAAAAACACGCGTGCTTCTGCTCTCCTGCTTCAGCAGAGCCTGGTCCTCCAGCCAGAAGGGCCGAGGGTGTTTGCAGGGGCCATCACTGGTGGAGCACCAGTGAGACCTCAGCCGCACCCCTCTCCTTCCTTAAAAATGACCTCCAGTTTCGATCCAGCCTCCAATTTTAACCATCAGCTCCATAAACTTGGCCTGCATGCTGGGTCCCCTTCCTTTACCCCCACAAACGCTATCTCCAGGTACAGAGACATCAACTCACGGTCAGGAACTGCTCCAAATATAACTGAAGCTTCTGCACTGGAGTGATGAAAGAGAATCCAACCTCAGAGCAAGAAATGGCTTGATGCTGCTGCTGACAACAACAGGGAAACGCTGCTTGCTCGCCTAAGGCTTTCTCAGCCCCTCCATGCCAGCAAGGGTAGGAACTTCTCTTGATCCAAGTCAGCAAACGTGACTCACAGCAGAGGGAGGGAGCCACGCTGCTGACTCAGGGGAAATTCTTCATTTAAAATAAAACCAAACCCTAGTTACTTTCCAAAACAGAATCACATAGGTAGCTAATACCAAAAAAAAACCCAAAACACAAAAAAACCCCCCACATCTGCAGTGTGTCTCCCTCTGCTCTGCAGGAGACACCTAGAAACGGTCACTTGAACCCCGTCCTCTACCTGGAGGAGTCTCTCAATCCTTCTTAGCACGCTAAAGAGGTTGGACTGAGGATGCCAAGGTTGTGGAGGGACTTCCGCCAGATCTCCAAGGACATTCCTGTGCCAGCTGTCAGTTCCTCCTGCAGATCCCGAAGGTGCTGTGTAACCCGCTGCTGTGCAGAGCCTGCTCCTGCCTCACCATCCCCAGGTCTCCCAGACAACCAGCAGCCCCTTCCCCAGTTCCCCCGCCTGCTCCTCCAGCACTGCTGGGAAATGGGATTAAAAGAAAAGCAGGCTTCGTGTAATTCATCTGCAGCCACGGGGAGTGGCTGACAGGCAGAGGAAGCCAGAAGAGCTCTGCCAGCCCAGAGGGTCAGTCTTGCAGCGTCCAGGCGAGGAGAGCTGAGCTGGCTGGCTGGGAAACCGAAACGCAGGGCTGTGTGCATGGGTACTAAAAGCCTGTACCCCTACTGAAACCGGGGGGCACAACCACAACAGGCTCCCCCAGCAAACGCAGCCCAGATCTGCTGCTCCCCAGGGCACCCTAGCAAAGGACAAAGGAAGAAAATAGGGATTAAAGGTGGTTTTTAGCCTTCCCTCCAGTAAGGCAAATAGTTTAGCCTGCTTGTCCTGGCAAAGCCTCTCACAAGCCGATGACCACAACCTGTGGACCCAGGAGACCATCCATCGGGCTTCAATCTGCAGAGGACCTGCCTGTGACAAGCACATCGGCAGCCAGAGGCAGTGACAGGCAGAGCAGACCCCCAGGCAACCCACCTCCCCAGGACCAGTCACTCACCTTCCTCCATCGCTCCCAGCACAGGTTCCCCTCAAGGACTCTCTCCTCTGGCCCTGCTGTCCCTGGGACCCTCGCTGGTGCTGGTGCTGAAGGCGGCAGCTCTTTGCCAACCTTCCCACCGTGCCTCGATGGACATCGGTGTTACAGCCCCCGCTCCCCAGTGCATTTCAGACACGGTGCTTAGGAGGAGAGACAACAAAAGCCACCATGAGATCCTGATTTTCCTCTCATGCCCTGGCAGAAGGAGGGACTGCAGCAAAATAACTTCTGCTCCCGTGTTTCCTGTGATCCACTGGGCGATGGATCCAGTGACCTCTATCCTGTCACTGTTGGTCATGGCCACAATCTATAGTGAAATGGCACCTCACTGGAAATTAAAATGCTAAACCATTTGCACACAGAACAAGGAGGCTGTGCGAGGCCCACGCCAGGATCCTCCCCAGCACACCAGTGACAGCCAGGAGAACAAACAGCCCCCCTCGCCTGCCAGCACCACAGGGAACGATATTCTCCTCATCCCCGGGGGAGTGCTGGGGGTGGCACCACGTCAGCCCTGTTAGTCACACGATGGTGGAGTCTGGTAGTGCAGGATCTGCACTTGAAAAGGCAAGAAAATGGCACAAAGATGATTCTGGAAAGAAAAAGAAGTGAATGCAGACAATTCCTTCCATCCTTCCAAACCTGCAGGGTCTGAAAAGTCTGCTAAAGAGGGAGAAGAGTTTGAACCGTGCAAATCAAAAGATGCCCCAAATTTACACTATAGCTTTAAAAGCACTGGGAGCATTTTCCTGGCTGACACTGCTATCAGGAACAGAGTGGATGGCTGAGCCCCTCAGATAAG